TGGGGAGCACCTCTGAGTCCGAGCCAGCAGGCAGGAGAGCCTTGAGAGCTTCTGCAAAGGGAGTTCATGTGATGTGCATTACCGAGTCACCACTTCCTAGTGACTTGCCAGACACACAAGATGTGGTTTGGTTTTTCTTCCAGCAGTATTTTCGGTGGCAGGCCACTAGAAGACCAATCTCCTCGGTTTGTGGATGCCCCAGTCCCCATGGAGAAGAAAACAAAAGCTACCGTCATGTGATATAGGGCTTTGGCCTCTTTTATTTTCTTTTTACAGTCAATTCCATGTGTAAAAGACTTCATAAAGCATGTGGCTCTGGCTGTACCCCGGGGAGGGGGGAGCTGCGGAGGACGGGGCTGCCTCTTCTGGACGGACTTCATTAGGACCTCCACGTTGGGGACATTGCTGGGCTTCTGGGTTATAATAAGCAGGAAGTTTATGGAGTCTCCCTGAGACTCATCTGTGCCTTTGGAACAGCTGTTTACAACACAGAACAGGCAAGGCACAGGCGTGCAACACGTCCTTGCACATGCACCACGGCGAGGTGATTCACAAAGGCTCACAACATACGGAAGAGTGAAAAAAAAATGTTCTCTTTATATCCCACGCCATTCCACCAGACTCTCACGTCTAAAGGACACAGAATTCACTTGACAAAGACGTTTGGACGGCACTACTATGGTCGGTTACTCTCTTAAATACACACTGCAAAAATATTTAACTTTCCGTTCTATGAATATCATATATAAATATCTGTCTGCCTTTGCTATACTTTACACACATTCAGCTAGCTGTCTTTATTCATCTACACACAATCCTTATTGAGACGTTAGACCGTATTGATCTGGCACTTAAAAAAATATCAGACACCGGGTTCGTGTTGGTTTTAGTTGGGGGGGGGGGATGGAGGCCATCCTTCAGGATGTACTTATTAGTAAGGCAAAATTATGCAAATGAAGAAATGGCATGGTGTTTTGGTCTGTTATGAAGCATGAAGGTTAAATCACTAAGGGCAGTTTCGTTATGGAAAACTGGTGCTGTTGACAAGGTTGGAGGTTTCTCTTCAGGTCAAGCGGTTACAGATCACTTCCCTGCTCCCTTTATCTTGAACAGTAAGTTCACATTTCTCAGAATCCAAACATGGTCACCTATACGCTGTAGCCTCAGAGTGACCATGTCACATATCAGACTATCTGGGAATGAAAAGGGTCGGGCCACACCGGATGCTCCCTGAAGGAAATAGAAACTGTTTGCACTTTTGGTTATTGATATGTGAAAACAAGGGGGGAGGGTGGGGCTCTGTCCTAACAGGAACAACCATGGTCTCCAGTTCCACGCCCTGATGGTCCTGAGCTGGCCCCCACGTGGCGGAACTGCTGCCTCAGAGGAATCCTTCCCTCCACGTCGCGTCCCTGACCAGGCAGCTACAGCACTGGATGGCGGGCCACCAGCTGCTGCAGTTCAAGGGTTCCACATTGGCTTTGGTCATCATCACCTTAGAGCTGGAGATGCTCATGCCCGACTGCTGTGCTCCTATATCTGATCTGCTAAAGAAAGCACACGTAGACATCAGCTTGGCCCTTCTGGCTGACACGTTCTGTGCTCAACACAGTACCCATGGCCCTTGTTCCTTTGTGGGCTCCAGAAGATGCACTGAGCACGCCAGCTATGGCAAGAGGTTGACCGGAGGCCATGCTCTGTATATGATCATGCTGTGTTCCCTGGTATGGCAAACCTTGAGCTCACAGGGAAGGATTTTTGGAAGTGAGGAACAAGAATACAGTCTGGTGGCCATGATCGGGAATGGGAAAAGGATCTGGGTGCTTAATATTGAGGATTATAACATCCAGACCTTCCCTCTACATGAGTGTGTGGTGACAGGCATGGAGTGGGGGCCGTGTCAGCAGCTCTCAGAACAGATTAGGATGGAATGGCAGATTAATGATAGTTAACTGAGGTTGGAGATGAGGGCTCCTAGGATGGTAGTTAGTGCTATGAAGTAGGGTAGTCATACCGTGCTCAAAATGACCCACGTGATCATCCCGGCACCGATCGCTGAGATGACTGTTTCAAGGTTACCATTGTGTGCTGACACCTGCCAGTGCTGAGCAGTATGGTGGCTGTGAGGTGCTTGTGAAGCCACACCTGAGAAGTCTGGGGCTACCCTCCTGCACCAATTCTGTTTCACCTGTCAGCCAGCCTCTCTGTCTCACTCTGAGGCCTCCAGAACCTGTGGGAACTCACTATGCTTGCATGCCTATAAATTCTTTGGTTTTACATTTCTCGTAATGAGACTGAGAGAAAGTTCTAGAAGAACCACTGGGGAAGTTACTTGGTCCTCAGGTTAGATCAGAACCAGAAGAGGTAAGGTGGCCTGAAGCTGTGACCCTGCCTTCCCTTTCTGTCCTCTAGAGCCAGGAAACCAGGGAGAAGGCTGCACTTACTCTTTCCTTCCTCGGCAAGGGCTGGTTCTGTCTCTCAGAGCTGAAGTAAGCTAGCGTGAGCCCGCCTCTGCCTAAAGGGTGTGGCCAGTCCTCAGGCGTCTCTCATTTTCCGAGACAGGGTCCCACTACGTGACCAGGGCTGGCTCAGAACTCATGGAGATTCACCTGCCTCTGCATCTCCAATGCTGGGATTAAAGGTGTGCGCCACCACGCCTTGCTCCCTCACAGACTGATTCTGGTTCTACCTGCCAGGCTTGGCCAGGTCCCTCCAGCTTCTCAGACTTGTCCCAAACACAAGAGTAGCTAGCACTTTAGTCCCAGCCACCTGGCTCCCTCTAAAAGCTGGGAAGTCTCTCTGAATCTGAGCATCCCCATGTGGTGCTGATTTACACCTTCTCCTCAGGTCCGATGAGAGAGCAGCACCATGTCCCCTGTGGACTCTGAAGGCCCTCATGCAGAGAACTTCATGTTAAGGATGCTCCTGACACATGCAGAGGGGATGCCGAGTCCTGTGCTGCCGGCTGGGTGACTGAGCCCAGCCTGCCCTGCGGACAGAAGGACACCTGCACAGACGGCAGGGAGGAAGCCAGCTGCCTGTCTGGAGCCGTGTTACTGTCGAGCCAGTCTTAAAGCTGTGGAGCCCAGCTGGCCAAGATGCCGGCTGGGACTTGAATGACTAGGCCATAAATTTAGAGGTGTTCCAAGAAACTTTGTCACTGTGAGCAGCTCTTTTATAAATATGCTAAGCCATGGAGTAGGGGGGGGGGGTGGGTCCAGTGTGTTGCCAGAAGCTCACTGTGTGGTCAGGGACCAGACAGGCCACATTGTGAGGCAGGGTACCATTTTGTCTTTCCTCTGGTTTTGCTTATTGGAGCTTCCCCCACGCATATACTTATTTATTCTGTGGACATCAGAGGATAATTTGTGGGAGTTAATTCTTTCCTTCCACTTCATGGGTCTTGGGGAACCAAACTCAAGTTGGCAGGCTTACCTGGTGAGTCATTTCACCAGCACACCCCCTCCCCTTTTTCTTGAGCTCAAATTGCAGCCTGGGCTGACCTCAAAGCTAAAATCCTCCTGCTTCAACCTCTGGAGTTCTGGGATTGTAGGCACATGGCACCACATCTGGCTGTTCGGGGTTTCTGTAAAAGCACACTTCAAATGGTTTCAGTGCTGCTGGAGACCTTTCTAGTAACAGAACTCTTGTGCACCTCTTGTTAGTCATATATACCTGGAACCCTGCCCTCTGGTTCTTGTCAACAACTGCCCTCCAGATAGGTCCTGGGAAGACGAAGGGTATTTGCTGACAGTGACCAGAAACCTGACATTCAGATGTCTCCAGCTACACGCAGCAGGCTGGCAAGGTAATATGCTGACTGGCCTCATGCTGCTCCATCCAGAGGCCAACATGTACAAGAAGACACTGTGTGGATGGGACAGGAGTTCATCTCAAGGGTTCACACCAGTGTGGGTATCCTGTGGCACTGGGTGTCTGCTGCATAGCACCTACGCCTATCAACCAGGAGGCTCTAGCTGTAAAATGTCCCCCCAGTTGATCCTATTCCCAAGTTCACAGAGAAAGAAGGCAACCCTGAGAGCCCTGTGCCAGAAGAGGAGGTGTCCTGTTGCCGGCGTATCTACAGATGAAGTAGCTCTTCTTGGGCGGCAAATGCTGCCATTGTTAAGACTCCATCAGGGGTCTGTTCTGCTTGCCTTTTTGTTGTTTGCCAGGAACTCACCTCATCTCAATACACAAATGGGAATCCCCATGGTTGGTGAATATGAACACAATCCACCTTCCTCTGTCCCCTCCTGGAAGAGCCAGGGACTAGCGAAGGCCTGAGGCCGGAGGAGATGGAGATGGGAGAAAGATCAGAGGCAGCTTGTTCTCTCCAACCACCAGTCCACCCTTCACCCAAACATTTCCGTCTCCCAAGGCTTCCCACCTCTACAGAACCATCTCGGGCCCATGGCCCACACCACCACACTTCGAACAATGACCCCATTTCCACTCTTTCCCAGTGATCCTAATGAGATGTCCAGCTTTAGCACAGGGATTAAGGATACAGATGACCAATATTCAAATCGCAGTTCATCCACTTGTTTGCTGTGCTGCCTTGGGAAATTATGGAACCTCTGGGACTTCCCCTATTAAATGGGGACAATAGTATCTGACCATAGGGCGGTGAGGATTAGAACGTTAGAGCATATCATTACAAGAGCTGAGCACACGTAGGGTGAGCTGTCTCAAGCCAAGCTTTCCTAACAAAGAGGTAAACTCCCTGAGGGCAGGGTATGCCTTCCCTCAGTCTTGGACCCTTTAACTCTTCAAGAGCCACAGACTGCAGATTCTCTTTCCTGTGACGCCTTCATCACACAAGCACTCACAGGTGTCTGCATCATGATTCGCTAGAAAAATGGAGTTCTGTCGGGAGCTCTGCCCTCACAGAGGTCACAGCGGAAGCAGGCTGCATTTGCCACAACTGCGGAATATTAATATGCTCAAGAAACTTGATTTCAGAAAAGCTACTGCCCAAAAATGACACTGTAAAAAACTCAAAATAAATGCAAAATTTAATGAAAACAAATGAGTACAAAGTGGATGGAAAGGAACAGAAACAAGTCAATGGGTGGAGGGGTAAATGGATTAACAACTGAAGTGGTTTTAGAGATGCATGGTAACGTAATAGATGAGCAAGCTGGCTTTCCTGGGCTGCTTACCCAGTATGAGCCCCAGACAAGGGGAGTCCACACACACACAGGAACATATACAGGGATAGTTTGTACAACCACAGGCGCTTGGATTCAGGCCTCCCAGCATGAAGGAGAACATACACCCTGGTTGGCCTGGGATACAGCTGCTTGATGGCTGTTGACTTGGGAGAGAAATCAGTCCCCAGTCATGCTAGGCAAGTTGTCTAGCATTTTTTTTTTTTTAATTTAACATGGGGTCTTGCTAAGTGGCCCAGGTTGGCCTTGAACTTGTGATTCTCCTAGTTCAGCCTCCTGAGTGCCTAGAGTTTGGCATGATGATTAACAGGATCTTTTCTCTCTTGGAAGTGCAGGTCTGAACCGTAACTTACACGGTGACTCTACCACAACACGAAATGGCTCAGGGGAAACGTAACAGCAAATGTCAACATGATCCTATGACCGTCCCATGAAGTCAACAAGTGACAGGGAAGAAAGAGGAGGGAGTCCCAGCTGTACACGGGGGCCGCAGCCTCAAGGGGCAAGCTTCACGTTTTTCTTGCACACCAAGGATTAATTTAACCTCAGCTAAAGAAAACAAAATTCCACACAGCAGGGGAAAAGCTTGCCATGACTGACGGGATCCATGGGGGAGCAACTCAGACCCTAGAAAATGCAAGTCAAGTCTCCCCAGAGATGCCAGCAAGCTTTGGGCCAAAAGGTGGGCACTGACCGTAATAGCCTTCCAGTATGCCCAAGTTGTGGCTGCTGAGCTGCAGGTGCCAGTGGTAAAATTTGTTGGCTCCAGAGTCCCCAGCATGACTCTGAGCCAGCAGTCTTATTTTATACAACCAGTGGACCCGTTGGGTCATCCTAGTCTCGAAATATATTGGCTAGGAGAGGCTGCTCTGAAGGTCAGGTTTGAACCTAAGTGAATACACCTTCAGATATACAATTTCCCTAGGAGGAGCCGCTGGCCTGCAGTTCACCTCTGCCTCAGACACCGAAGTTCAACATCAGCTCTGCCATGACCAGAGGTGGACTAGCTCTGATGCTCACAAGGCTTCCAGGGACTGAGCTGAATTTTATGTTCTTTTGCTTAAAACGGCCTCTCTAAATAGTTTGAGAGTCCAGACTTTTGGCCAGGATGCACCCTGATCACGGAGGATTTTTTCCTTAGAGCATTAATAAAGGCATTTCTCCTGCTGTGTGGAGCCTCTCACAGTACAGGTGCCTTTGGGGAGGTCTTGTCACAGCGCACTCACAACCACCTTCCCCTCCAGCTCACTCTGAATGAGCCATCATCTCAGGACAGGAAGGAGCCAGACTGGTCCTGGATGAATACAGGCAGGCCTGGCAGGAAGGGGGCAATGGTGGAGGGAGATGGGGGCGTAAAAACCTGAATGCAGCATGAATCAGTGTGGACCCCTCAGGCTCTCAGTGAGAAGCCCATTGGGTGATCAGCTCCTTGGGGTGCAGCCAATCTTTCTGGGGAGCCTGGTGTCCAGCTGGTGCTGTACCAACAACCCCGAGGCTTGCAAACCATCAGGAGCAGAGCAGAATGGATTTTGTCAGTACTTTCCTTGCTTTTATTTTTGAGACAGGGTCTCATGTAACCCAAGCTGGCCTCTACCTCACTGTGTAACTGAGGCCCGTCTCTGGCTTCCCACCACCTTCCAAGCGCTGGCATCACAGGCCTGCACCATCCCACCTGGCAGCCACTTTCTTAAAAGTGTTCACCTGGAAACTAAAGCTGGAGGGGACGTTCTTAGCCCCCAGGCTTTTGTTTTTCTCCCCCCACTGCCAAACTGTCCTAATACTTCAGACACCGTTATTTTCTTGCACCATGACTCGGCCAGGAAAGAAGTAACAGTGACCTTGACATGACAGCCCTCTCCCCGCTGAGCACGCTGGTCGGGAGCAGGCGGCTTATTTGGAGTCAAACACTTAACACACACGCATGTGGTCCCTGCACAGGTAGCACCTCGAGGGCAGAGACAAGGGTTTGGGCTGCTGTTCCATTTACATTCACAGTAAAAACGCTGGGCGTGGTCTTGTTCGGGGTCCACTGCAGTCCATAAAGAAGTTCCAAACACTGCCAGAATAGGAACTTTATTTCCCACCTCTCCCTATATGTTATAGGGCTGCTTTCTATGTAAGAAGGTTTAGAGATCTTTTTAGTTTAAAAAAAAAAATCAGGGAATCTGTGTTACTTATAAAAATAATGGGAAAGATAGATATTATTTGTCTTTATACTGGTGCCAAAATAAAAATTTAGAAGTGTTTCAAAGTTATTGAAATTAAGCTCTAGGTTAGAAAAATTAAAATGAAGGGGAAACAGGCAAATTCTGCAGCGTGTGTGTATATACCAGACCACAGGCCACGCCTAGGGTATCACATGAGTCGCTGGCTGGAGCCATCACTAGAGTGGCACAAAACTGCTCCGTCAGGGAATAGTGACACTGTAAATGGAAGACCAGCCACCGGCTCTGGAAAAAATAAACCTTGTCAGTTTGAGATTCCAGCATTCATGGCTCGGATACGTTTGCATAGAGAGGGGCGGCTGGACAGGCCCAGGCAGCCGGGGGCCAGCCAGGGGCCAAGGCAAGGCTGTAAACACTGGAGTCTGTACCGGCTCCCAGTCCGTCCTCACACCATGCTATGAGAGAAGGGCCACAAGGTGTAACTCAAGCAACTTAACACATGATAGTCTAAAGTCCGCTCTTGACATGTAAGTCTGTGCGTGCTTTAACTGAAAAATAAAACAAAACAAACAAAACAAAAACAGACACATTAAAAGATACGCAGACCAAACCAAATAGAAGCAAAAGACAGCAAGGTGGACACTGGGAAAGGGCAGTCAGTTTGGCATTTGTGACGAGCAAAGCAGGGAACTCGCTTCAGTTTGTGGCGTCCCGGGCTGAGGGTCAAAATCTGATTGGGAAGTAATTTCGCAAAAATTGATTAAAATTTAAAGACTGAGTACAAACCAAGTAAAGCCATTTAACTAAACGGCCATGAAAATACCCACTCCCCAAATGCATGCCTGGCCCACCCTATCCCACGGGGCCAATGACCCCTGAACCCCAGCTCTAGCTTCACAGGTACAGAGTCCCCTCTCCCAGGGTCAAACTGACTGAAGCTCTCTAGTGTAACCGCCCAACTAGAAAGGGCAGGCCTTTCAGACCCAGATCTGGGAAACAATATCCCAGGAGACCGGACATCTGGGGCAGGTTTCTACTGAGAGTTGTTTCTTCATAATGAGAGTTCCACCCTAAGCTGCTCTATAGTCAGTCTGTCTGTCTCTCTCTCTCTCTCTCTCTCTCTCTCCTTTTCTTTCTTTCTTTTTCTTCCTTCCTTTTTTTTGGAGACAGGATCCTTGCTACATATCCCAGGCTAGTTTAGCAACTCATTACGTAGCCCAGGTGGACCTCAAAGTTAAGAGCAATCCTCCTGCGTTTGCCTCCCCAAAGCTGGGATCAGAAGCATATGCTACCACACCTGGCTGGCGCAGGGGCTTCTCCTAGTTTCTTATTTGGGGACACTGTCTACTTTCACCAGATTGCCTGGGCCACGCTGGCAGGGAGCAGGGCAAAGTCACTTTGAATATACAGACTCTGTCCCATGTCCCCCTCACAAGGAGGGACATTTCTGAGCTGCCAGCTTAAAGCCCACACTGACTGCACCTCAACCTCCACACTCACCAAACCAAGGGCTGAAATAGGATCAAGGCGGAAAGCAAGTGTAAAATTCTCCAGACTGAGGGGAAATGGGCCTTGGATCCTCTGGGAATTGGTAGCTGGGATGGGCTGTCAGTCATCAGGATGGGGAAGACCACAAAAGGGGAACCCCTGCCCCAAAGCAGAGGACAAACCTTGGGAACCACAGTGTGCATCTAGTCCTAAGTGTTGTGTCTGCCCCAGGGAGAAGCACTTTAAGTTTGAGGCAGGAAAGTGAAAGAGAGAGAGAGAGAGAGAGAGAGAGAGGATCGATCATGTTCGTGTGTGTGTGTGTGTGTGTGTGTGTGTATGTCAGGGAATGCCACCTAGGGGTAAGGCAGGACATAGTCAAGTTCATGCACCCAGATGCTGAGGTGGATGGGACCACTTGAGTCTCCGAATGAAGTAGAGCAGGAGACTGGGAGTCACTGCAGACAGGGTACCAGACTCCAGATAGGAACATGGGAAAGGACTGCGGAGGACACCAAAATGGCTGGGATGTAGATCAGTGGTAAAGAACTTATCTAACGTCTAACGTGTGCAAGGCCCTGGACTTAGTCCTTACAATCAAAAATAAATAAATAATAGTTTTGTTTTTGTTTTTTGAAAAAGAAGGCAAAGAAAAGGAGGCAGCAGGGGTGAGAGGGGGTGGGGCAAGCAAAGAAAAGTGCTAAGGAAACATGACTGGGAATTCTGTGACCTTAAGCTGACACACCTGGGAGAGCCTCCTTGTCACCTGTCACTCTCTACTCTGCATAGAGAAGACAGGGACTGGGGCAGTACTGGCCTGTCCTGATGAGTCCCTGCTGTCTGTCACGTGTCGCCATCTACCAGCTAATATGAGTTCCACAACCCCAGCCTCAGAGGCCTAAGGGACATGTGCCACAGCTGCTCAAGCAGAAGCACAGGGTCTCCACATTCGCCCCTCTCCTGGCTGGACAGACTTGTCCCAGTATCCTGTGGTTATACCTGCTTGGCTGTCCCCTGCTACTGGCTGCCCACATGACCCAGCTCCTTCACTACAAAAGCAGGGAAGAGGACTAGACGCTGAGGATGCTGGGGGAGGATGAGGGAGGAGAGAGAGATCCAGACGGTGAGACAGCGAGAAGACTAGTGTGAGAGCAAGTCGGAGGTACGCGGTGGAGAGCAGGTGAGGTGGTGAGGGTAGACCGCGGTGAGCGTGAGGCTGAGCAGTGACCCGGGGGGCAGAGAGCAGGTGTAAGGAGACAGCCCAGGGGAGATGCCACTTACTTCTTCTTGTCCTTGTCTTTCCTCAAGGGCTGCTGTGAAGTGGCATGCAAGGCCTGAGACTGCAGGGCCTCCATGGCTGCCTTCCTGCAGTTGAAGGCGTTGGTCTCTTCCTCCAGCTCCCTGCGCTTCTCCTCCACCTTGCGCTTCTCCTCCTGATGGATTCGCTTCAGGTGCTCAAACTTCTCATGGAGCTGGGGAAGGGAAAAGGGAGGCAACTGGGAATGGGCAGACTAGGTCCCCTATGTCCCCATCAGCCAGCCTGCCCTGGCACTTCCTCTCCACAGCGGGCCTGACACACACCTCCCGTTCCTTCTCCTTCAGCTCAAGCTCTGTCTCCTTCACTTTGTTGACGAACATCTGTCTCATCTCTTCCTCCTTCCTCTGCAGCTCACTCAGGAACTCCTTCCTCTTGGCCTCGTATGTCTCTTGGAGGCTGTGGAGACCCAAAGGAGAGGCCAAAGGTAGAAGTGAGGCCGTCAGAGCAATGGAGTCAGGGAGATGCTGGGGACAAGAGGATTCAGGGCTCCCACCAGCCTGTGCCTTCGGGCTTACAAGGCCTAAGAGAGCAAGTGCTGGCGTGACAAGAGTGGCTGAGGCAGCGCAGCACAGGCCATCACCTGAAGGGCTGGCTGTCACCATCACTGTCCTGGAAGCCCATCTCCTCCAACTTGCAGCGACGGTAGAGCTCGTAGTGCCGACTGTGGGTCTGCTCCCGCAGGTCCTCCATGTTCACCCGGATCAACATCTCCCGCAGCTTCACGAAGTCGCAGTGATTCTCGTTCTCCACTGAAAGCAGGGGCGTGAGAGGCATGAGACAGGCGTGCAGATAGGTGGGGGAGCGGCCGGGCAGGACTTGGGTGCCTTGGTGGCTCCAAAGCAGCATGAGGCGGGTGTGCAGATCGGCAGGGGGAAAGCAAGACAATGGTTAGGGGGCTTTGGTGGTTCCCCAGAGCAAAACAAACATGCAGATGGTTGGGGGTACAGCCAGACAGTGGTTGGATGCCTTCATGGTTCCACAGCATGAAATAGGCATGGAAACAGGCAAAGGAACAGCAGGAGCGTGGCCATGTGCCTCAGGGAGCTCCACAGAGTGAGGCAGCCAGGAAAATGGGCAGAGGGTAGCAGGACAGTGGTTAGGGCCTCGGCTGGCAGGACACGAGGAGACTGAGTTGAGGCCCCAGCTGGGGAGAGGCTTGCCCCACACTCACCCTGCACCACTCCCCAAGGGTACTGTCGAGCTCGAACCAGCTTGTTGCCCACCTTCACCTCCTCTGTGCTGCCCACCACAGCAAAAGGCAGGTGTGCCTAAAAGGGGGCCCAGGTATATATGTGAGCACTGTGCTGAACAAGGGGGCAGACTTTCTCACACCCCTGCACCCTAGGGAGGGGCCACCAGCCTTTGACAAGGCTCTTTAACAAGGGTTAGAGGCTCAGTTCCTGTCTCTCTCAGAGAAATGTTCTAGACTCCCGACTGGGTTTTCCTATCTGTGGTGTGTTCGTCTCAGGCCAGCATAGCTCTGAAAGGACCTATGACCCCTGGCCATATATGGACTCGCTCCTTCAGACATCACATTCCCACCCTGAGTTCACCTGTGACACACAGATCTAGGGCACCCTTAGTGCAAACCCAAAATCCAAATCCTCTAGTCTGGTGCCCCCAGAATTCAGGCCTGGGAGGCATACACGCCTACCCACCCTGTGCAGGATAACATTCTGAGAAGCTGAGTCTCATCTCAGACTGGTGTCCCCAAGCCCTCTGACTCAGGAGTCCCGAGGCCCTTGCCCAGCACTCACATTCATGACCCCGTTGATCTCTGCAACAGCCTCGTCGTCTGTGGGGAACTGGTAGATCTGGACTCCATTGCTGACCAGCTCACCCATGATCTTGATCTTGAATTTGTGGAGCTCGCTCTTGGAGATGGTGTCGGCCTTGGCAATGATGGGAATTATGTTCACCTGTGAAGGTCAGCGGAGGGGCAGCAGGTTAGTTGCCCATCTTGAGGAATGATCACTGACCATGGACAAGCACTAAGAGCAGAAAATCAGGAAGACAGTGGCTCCAACGATCAGTTGCAGGCCAAACTTCGCCACCTGTGGCCACTGTGATTGATATCAGGAACCCTAACAATGAGCTGTAATGCTTCTCTGGGCCTCGGCTCCCCAATACAACTTCCCAGCACCCCATTTGACAGCCAGGGGCATATTCAACTTGGACCCAGGACGCTCTGAAGGTCCAGATTGGCCTGGGGTCTGACAGAAACAGTAGTGGTGACCAAGCCAACCACTAAGCAGGCAAGATGACCCAGGAGTAGCAGCTATGGAAAAAACCTTGAACTCTCCCAGGCCAAGGTTACCCTATTTTTCATGGTGACAATTAACTCCTGAGATGGAAAGGCAGTCACAAGGGCTGAAAGATAACTAAGAGGTGCCCGGATCCTCCAGGACCCCCAGACCTTGCTAGCACCCCATGAAACTGCTCTCTACCCTCTACCCTCATTCACAATTCAAGCTGAGTCATTCTCCTCTCCTAGTAGGCTCAGAAGAGAGCCAGGGGGAAGCCATGTCAGACAGGAAAGAAGTGAGGAGAGGAACTAGAGATAAGAGGCTGGATGGAAGAGGGACACTCTGGACAGAGGGTCTGCAGGGGGGGTTCGTCATTGTACAAGGAAAATAGATAGACAAAAAGCATAGTTTCAAATGAGAAGGAAGTTGCTGAGAACGAAGCTCTGAAAAGCTCAGTGAGGACCACTGAAGTAGCCAGAGAGGACCAAGCTGACCACAGGATAGCCAACTGCAGTCACCACACCGCCTTCCAGAGGTAGATGGCAGAGGTCAGGTGACAAGGAGGGGTATGTACCTTGCTATCTAGTTTCTTCATGGTCACCAGATCCAGGGATTTCAAGGAGTGCCCAGTGGGTGTGATAAAGTAGAGGCAAACATGGATCCTTGTGTCATGGTAGTCAAAGAGGGAACGGCGGATCTTCAGCTCCTCCTGGAGATAGTTTTCAAACTGCGCGTCGATGTAGTCAACTATGGGCCTGTAACTACAGACAGCTTCATCACCTGGGAGGCAGACGCTGGTTGAAGCAAGGGCAGCCTAGAGCCCAAGCCAGGCTATCCCCACTCTCCTCCCTGGGAGCAGCGTTGCCCTATCTGGTGTAGGAGGCTGACTGACCCCTTCTTATACCCTCTTAGAGGAAGAACTGGTCTGTCAATGGCCCAGGACCTCAGCCCTTCCCCAACAGCCTTCCTAGGCCACCTTAGCACTATATGTATGGGGCACTTTGAAGCAGGAAGTGATTGGGAAGTTTTAGGATGAGGGTCAATCAGTTCGGGGTCATCACAAGGCTAGGTGGAGCCGCCCTTCCCGCCTCTTGCCTGTCATCCTTATTGATCTGGTCCCCAAAGCCCACAGCATCCACGATGGTCAGTTTGAGATGAACGTTGCTCTCCTGGAGATCGTAGGTCTGAGGCCGCAGGCGTACACATTCCTCGTGGTGACTGGCTTCCTCGGTCTCAAAAGTTGTGTTGAAGAGTGTATTCATTAGCGTGGACTTGCCGATCCCAGTCTCCCCTGGTGAGTGGGGACAGCAGGGAGAGAGGAGAATATCAAAGTCTAGAACCAGGGCCGTCTCTAGCTGGCAGCTAGATGAGGGGGGCTCAAAGACCCTCAACCCCAGAATGAGAGAGCGGAAGCAAGCCTCCTACTCCATTCCTCACTGGCCTCTGAGAGTGGGGGGTGAGGGTGGGGGCTTGGGCTGTTTCTCAGTTTTAGAGTACTCGTCTGGCATGTATAAAGACCTGGGGTTCCATCTCAACTCCAATTCCAAACCCCAAAAAAGGTCTGTGAAATGGCTCAGTGAGTAAAGGCACTTGCTGCATAGCCTAGCAACCCAAGTGTAATCCCTGGGACCCACACGGTAGGAGGGGAGAAGTGACTCCAAGTTGTCCTCTGACTTCCATTGCCATGTGCTCCCTCAAATAAAATGAATACATTCTTAAAAAGGGTGGGGGGGGGAGGAAGGGAAAGGAAAAGAAAAAAAGAAGAAAGGAAACAATGTTCAGAAGAAAATCATAAAGGAAACCTTTGATGTAAGACATGGCTAGGCAGGGCATGTGACATTTCCCCAGGGAGTGGGGAAAAGGCAGTACCAGGCTATAGAGATACCACCGTGTTTTGAGACTAGGCTTCAAGGGGACCTAGTCACAAAACACACAGCCTGTTCTGAACACCACCCTTCTTAGGCCAAGGTGGTCATGATTCCACAGGAACAGGACCTAAAACCACCAGGAGCTGTCCCTGTAGCCTCTTCCCAAGGGATACCTGCAGAGGGCCCTGCATAGCCTTTGTGCCTCTGGGAGTCCTGGGCCTTGGACACCTGGAGCCTCCCCAGTCAGGCTGTGTTTGTTCCAAAGTGCACATGAGATTTACCCTGTGATCTGGTGACCAAGCAGGGTCTCATTCAACACTGTATCTTTGTCACATAGTAAGGAGAAAAGAGTTTGAAGATTTATTTTTATTTATGTGTGCATGTGTGTCTATGTGCAGATACCTATGAGAGCCAGAAAGAGGGTGTCAGGGTTCTTGGAACTTGAGCTACAAGCATTTGTGAGTCACCTGACATCGGTGCTGGGAACAGATGTCCTCTGGAAGAGCAGCCAGTGCTTTTAACCACTGGGCCATCTCTCCAGCCCCCAGTGTTTGTTTTTTAATAAATGAATGAACCAGTGACTGAATTTCTATGATAGACACCCAGTGTAGGCAGCACTTTCATGGACCCACCTCTGTTTCCTCTTTGTGGCGACTGTGAGTCAGGTGCTGGATCTAGTCCTGCTCTTGATCATGACAGAGGCAAGACCAAGGCCTGAACCCAAGGTCTCCCCAGCTTGATAGGTGGCCAGGCCACTACTTACCCACACAGAGAATGTTGAAACTGAAGCCCTGGCTGACGGACTTGCTGACCAGCTGGTCAGGGAGGCTGTCAAACCCCACATGACCGCCCAGGGACAGGCTCCGGGGCTCAGGCTCTGCATTCTGCCAAGAGAAGCACAACAAGACAGTGAGCCTCCTGGGAAAGAAGGTGTCTGTGTCAGACCGGCCCTGACCCTGGTGCCTGAGTTCTCAGTACCACCCAGGACACACCTTGAAGTCACCAGGGTTCCAACTCCATGCCACACTCCCCAGTGGGCCCCTGAGTCCCCTCACTTTTGAGACAGGCTGGCCTTGAACTTACTACCCAACTGCTTGGGTCTCCAAGGCATTTAAGACGATGAGGATGTATCACCATACCCAGTTCCCTGGATCTATTCACTAAACAGGGTCTCATGGCATCCAAGATAACCTTGAATTTGCTACACAGCCAAGAATGATATTCAGCTTCCAAACTCTGCTTCCACCGCCTGTGTGCTGATATTATAGGCGGGCACTCTGTGCCAGTTTATGTGATGCAGGGGACCTCAGGGCTTTATGCATGTTAGGCAGGAACTGCCAATTGAGCTAGAACCCTAGGCCTCCCCGGAATCTTCAAAGAGCCCAAGAGATACAGGTTAGAAAGTGTATATTCACACAGTCAGTTCTGAGGAAGGTGGGAATGCTACCACCCTCCACTGGCCCTTTCCAGCCCCTACTTGAAACATCAGAGGCCCCCCCACTTGTCAGGCTGGGCTGGTGGTCCCCCACATCCACTTTCCACTACTCAGTGGTAGTATCTGGAGACTCTGGGGTCTCCAACCCTACCCGAGTCATGACTGTTCAGAAAGGGGATTCTGGGAGAGAATGTGGAAGCCTGACCTCAGCAGAAATGTGGGCATCAGGACCCAAGTGATCAGGGACCACTGGAGTTGGGCTGAAGCATTCTTAAGAGAAGCAATAAGGCCCAAACGAGGGTCAAGGCTGGACCCAACTTTGTGTGGACACTTTCAGTGGCTTCCCTGGGAGTGCGAGTAAGATGTCACCCTGAGGGCAGGTTTCCAGGCCCACAGAGCTCCATATTGGGCAGAACCATACCCCTTTCTTCCTCAGTGCCTATGCCCTAACCACCACCAGGGACAGGAAAGCACACAGGAGTCTCTCCCGTCCACAGCTCCACAGTGGAGCTCTGAGTGTCATGGCCACCCTCGTAAATGTGGACACAGCACAGTGGGCAAAAGAGTCGGGGGAGGGGTGCCCTGTGGCTCAGGCTACACAAGAGCCTCCTCAGCACCTAGACATCAGCTCTCTGCAGCCACACCCTGCTGCCTTGGCCGGTACCTCTCTAGCCAATCGGGCACAAAAACCCAACCTGCCTTAGGATACGAACACCTGTCTCAAGCAGCCTAGACCCAATGTGACTCTTATACCCATTGCAAACAAGCCAGGTTCGCCCTAAACCTGTTTTCTCCAAAGACTCTTGGTGGAGCCTATTTTTCACAATAACCCTTTCTCCTCCCTCCCACCATCCCAAGGGTCATGTCCCAATTTACCCACTCACAAGGCCCTTTAGGGCTGCAAATGTCCCCTGGTGCCCATATCAGAAACAATTCATAGAGTCTCTCCCCCAACTCCTACCCCTTTGCCTGGCATTCAGGCTTCCCCCAGGCTCAATTCCCCCACTGGTTACTTCTAAATTCCCTTGTGTGTGTGTGTGTGGGGGGTGTTGTTGTTGTTTTGTTTTGAGACAGGCCCAAGCTGACTCTGAACCTGTTGTGCCATGAATGACCTTGAACTTCTAATTCTCTGGCCTCTATATCCCCAGTACTGGAATCACTGGCATTTGCTGCCATACCTAGCTTTATGCCACGCTGGAGATTTGATCTGGGTTTGCCCAGAGTTCTGTGCATGCTAGGTGAGCAAGCTACCAACTGAGCCACGCCTACATTCCCCCTTCTTTCACGCTGTTTAATCAATTATTTACTTAGGGGGTAGGGGTGGGGCTCACACGTGCTAGGCCTCCTGCAGGGGTAAAAGGACAGCCTGTCAGTGCTCTCCTTCCACCGCATGGATCCCAGTTCCAGGCACTGAATTTAGGGTCGGCCTTGACAGCACCTTTACCCGCTGAGCAGCTTCCCTGAAGTCCTGGACTCCCCAGGTTCTCTGCCTTTTTGCTGGCACCTGACCTTACCTGGCTCCTGCACAGCATGTCAGGCCCTCCCAGACAGTGGTCCTGTTTCCTGGCACCAATCCTTAACATTTTATGCATCATGGCTCTCCACCTCTGCTCCTCTCTTAGGAAGCTCTCCACAGGCTGGGGGAGCTGTGCTCCCTATGCTTCCCACCCTGCCTGCCATGGCTCCACTGCTCACTTTTAAATCCACAACACCATCTTCAAACGCTGCCACACTGGAGGTGCCACCTGCCCACCTTACACAGGTCTTCCTTCCTCCTGGTGGCAGCCTGAGGATCAAACGCAGGACAGGACAATCTGGAGATTATTTTTAGGTGACACTGAAAATCTCCAAATTGAAGGCATGCTATGATTCGCTAAGAAGGCTGCATATTTATCCACGCTCTCTTTCCAAGGGTGATGCAATCCAACATCCTGTAGTCTGCCGCCAAAACTGACCAAGTCAGCTGTGTCTACAATCCAAACCATACCACGCGTATACCACACACACACACACCACACCACACACACATCACAGCAGAACACTTAAAGAGAAGAAGAAGGAAAAAACAGGCCAGCCTATGCCTCACTCCCCCCAACTTTCTGACAGTTCTGGGCTCCAGGGACTAGAAGCAGCACTGAGGACTGCACAGGCCCGCCCACCCACCCGGGCTTAGCAGCCCTCACACAGTGTGGCTCCCTCTGTGGAAGTGTGTGGAGGATGAGGAGGCCATCACCCCCAAGTTATTGCCCAGGCTGCACAGTGTCTACCCAGGAAGATCAGGGACCAGAGTGGACATCCATCTCTGGTACACCTACACACACCGAATAATGGTTACTGCCTTGACAGAGACAGTGTCCTTCCCTGTCCTCAAGAGACTGATGTGACCTTCTGGCTTTCCTCTTGCTATTGCCAGTCTTCCTGATCACGCATTTGGCATCAATAACTTGTGACCCAAAGTGTCCTACTTATTGCAAAGAGTCACCCTCCCCTCAAATGTCTGCTAGCCTAAATAGTCACAGCACAGGAAGAATTAGTAACACCCGAGGTGTCCCCTACATGATGCAGTGACCAGACTCAGACTATCAGATCTCCCGCTGGTAACAGCCCTTCCATCTGGTGATAGTCAATCAGCATGATGCCAAAGCAAGTGGCCCAGGGGGAGTCTTTATGACTACCCTGTGATCATCTGCAGAGCTAGCCTAAGACTAAAGGGCAGCAGGGCCAAGAAAATGGCAGAGTAGCTGGGGAGCTCCTGTCTGCCCTCCCTATGGTCCCTTCTCCATGTGTCTCTAGCTGGGTGGGGCCTTAGTCTCCACAGAACAAGCATGCACAGGACAGGAGAGAGTGGGGGAACTCCAAGGGGAAGCATAGACCGCCAGGAGTCTGAGTTTGCAGCCTCAGAAAGGAACAGAGCTCACAAGACAATACCAGCCATTTGCTAAGAACTACCTTGTAGCCAGCGGTGGTGGCGCACACCTTTAATCCCAGCACTCAGGAGGTAGAGAGAGGTGGATCTCTGTGAATTCAAGGCCAGCCTGGTCTACAGAGTGAGTTCCAGGGCAGGCTTCAAAGCTACAGACAAACCCTGTCTTAAAAAGTCAAAAGAAACCTACTTGTAGAAAGCCAGGCGGTAGTGGTGCACACCTTTAATCCAAGCACTTGGGAAGCAGAGGCAGGCAGATCTCTGAGTTCTCCCAGCCTGGTCTACAAAGCAAGCTCCAGGACAGCCAGGGCTACACAGAGAAACCATGTTTCGAAAAACAAGAAAGAAAGAAAGAAAGAAAGAAAAAGAAAGAAAGAAAGAAAGAAAGAAAGAAAGAAAGAAAGAAAGAGGGAGGGAGGGAGGGAGGGAGGGAGGGAGGGAGAGACAGAGACAGAGACAGAGACAGAGACAGAGACAGAGACAGAAAAAGAACTACCTTGTGGGACTGGAGAGAGATGACTCAGAGGCTAAAAGCACTGGCTACTCTTCCCGAGGTCCTTCCTGAGTTCAATTCTCAGCAACCACACGGTGGCTCACAACCATCTATAATGAGATCTGGTACCATCCTCTGGCATGCAAGCATATATAATAAATACATCTAAATAAATAAATAAACCTTAAAAAAAAGTCTGGCTTGTGTGAACTAAACCAAAAGAACTAGAGTCTCTCACTGAGCATTTCCTACCCTGTGTGGCACTAACCAGAGCCCAGCCCTGGCAGGAGTGGCGAGCAGAACAAGCCCTTAGGCAAAGCACTCCGGTCTGTGGCCTTGGAAGACTCCCAACTTCGTAGTGAGTCTGCTGTACAGCAGGTACTGGAATAGCCAGCAGGGTGAAGGTGAGGACACCACATCCTTGACCCCAGGTTTTTTCTAAACTTAAGTGCCAGAGAGGTCAGGGAAGCTCCGTAAATGGACAAAGGATCAATATAGCAATGCTGATGACCACCAGTTACAGCCAACATTTATGAGTTCTAAAATACACCGTTTCCATCTTACTCCACACGGCAGCCCATGAGGACCACTGGGGCCCTGTGAGACAGAGTTATTTACAAGAGGCCAGGCAGCTCAGGGTCTGAATGGAGACAATGTAACTGGGAAACGCACACTTCTGGCCACATTACTCTGCTGCCCTCTGACAGCAGCAGACATGGTTAATTTAGAATCCTTGAAGAAAGATGTAGAAATGGCAGAACCCATGCTCAGACATGGCGCAGGGTGGCCAGAGGTCTGTGATTCCAATCAACTGTGGGAAGGCAGGTCTGTTGTTTAGAAATCTGACTCCTCTGCCCCTCAAGAGATCCAAGCAGGGCGAAGTAACACATAATCCCAACCTTAGGGAGGCTAAGGCAGGAGGATCAGGAATTAAAAGCCAGTCAGAACTACACATAGAGACCTTGTCTCAAAGCAAAGATAAAAATCATAAGCAACTTTGGCATGTTCAGGAGGGAATGCTGACGAGGTTATG